ACAGTTGTTTGTATTGAACATACAATGGTAAATAATGCACAAATAAACTCCATGCTTTGCATAATCACAAAAGTAAACCTATTTTGGCCCTTCTGCCCACCCCTGTATGTACACACGAGAAGCTTTCCTATCCTCTGGTAGGCCTCCATGTATAAGCCTAATTTTATCAGAGTAATTCATTCTCCCACTCAGAGGTCTAAGCAAACTTATGCTTCTATATGTCAATCTTTAATTCTCATAAAAGAAAAAGGTAAGCAATCTAAAATTTCATTTAAGGTGAGTAGTAATTGAGAAGAGATTATTCTATTATCTGTTGATGACTTTTATTTCCTTAAAGAACAAAAGTTAAATTAAATAGAAACTATGTGAACCTCAAATTCTGACTATTGTTCACGATGTTCCACAGTAGGCAGGAAAAAGGGAAAAAAGATACCAACCCTCAAGACTCTCGCACTCTAAGACAAGGTCTGACCAGAACAACCTACAAATATTACATAAGCCCCAAGATGTCTATCATCAAATGAATTAAGAAAGCTCCCCATTTTGGTGGTGAGGAAACCATGTTAGAAGCAATATGGCATCACTCAAGTAAGACAGATTCACTACAAATAGTGGCTGTTGCCAGTCCTCTACAGTGCAATAATAATGATTATATTGGTGATGACGATGATGTTTGTATTCTGAAATCCTAACCTAAACATTATTTAAAAGGAAAAGCATGTAAGACTTTCTCTGAAGCACCATGCCATTGAGAGACTGCTGGAACACCATGTGCGCCTGTGTGTTTAAGATCTATCCTACCCCTGACATCAAATTTAGGTTCTGGAATGGCTTTTCTGGCCTTTTCTAAAAGCACAGTCAATGCCTCGGCCCGTTTGGCTTAGAAGTTGGAGTGTCAGCCCGAGGACCAAAGAGTCGCGGGTTTGATTCTGGTCAAGGGCACGTACTTCGGTTGCAGTTTAGTCCCTGGTCCTGGTCAAGGTCATGTAGTAGGCAACCAGTCGATGTGTCTCTCTCACATCAACGTTTCTTTCTCTCTCTCCCTCCCTCCCACTCTATCTGAGGATAAATGGGAAAATATCCTCAGGTGAAGATTTTTAAAAAATGAAAAAATAAAAGCACAGTCAAGGTGAAGCAGTGAGGTAGACAGGACCTCGCCAAGGGGCTCTGAATGAGGCTAGGACTGCCGGCATGGATACATTCGTTTCTCTACCGCTCACTCCTCATATTACAAGACAGGTTCAGACAAGAAAGCATCGGGTCCAAAGCCCCTCACTGTAGGACAAATTGAGGCCAATTAACAACAAGTACCTAAGGAAATGCTTTTAAGACACACTGAAGCATAACTTCAGAGGCTGTGTTCCAGGTCCCAAGGTTGGCCAGCAGGAAAGGATTGGCTCTTTTCAAACATGACTAACTAGCTGCACCAGAGGTTGGGAAGAGGCATTAATCATTACACATACAATGCTGTAATTAGCAGCTTTTAAAAAGCCAGGCTTTGTGTGTTCAAGATGTGGAAAAACTGACATTGGACCATATACAAGACACATCTATAAACTCAGGCACCCAATGAAGTAGGTACTTTCCAGCTGCTACAATATATTTAGCATTGTAAGATCATCTTTTAGTATAATAGTATAGTTCATATGCTTAACTCAGTTTTTAATTTAGTTCTGTTCATTTGACCTGAGCATCTAAATAGAAAAACTATGTGGAAAAAAATAAAATCAAAGAGCCTACCTATCCAACAAGTTACTTAACAGCTTTCTTTCTATGTCTGATGCTTTTTAAAACTTACAGTCATGTACACATCATAATGCTGTTATCTCTGCAGCCGGGCAGTCTGGGTTCGATCTCTGAATCTGCCATTTAAAAGCTGTGAGTCTGACAAGTTACTTAACCTTTTTGTGCTTCAGTCTCCTCATCTGTAAAATGGGGGTTATAACAGGACCTACTTTATCAAGTTATTATAAGAATTAAATAAGATACATGTAAAGCAAGTGGAATAATAGTGATTATAAAGGTTCAATAAATGTTAGATTTTTAAAAGCCAAGTTCAAGAAACATGAGCTATCTATAAGACTGAATACAGTATTATATTTACTTATAACGGGTCTAGAAGTATGCATAACAATCAATTTTATAGTGCTTTATAAATAGTGTATGCGGCATATTATCTATCATTAATGACCTAAGGCACTGTGTGTGAAGCATGCTGCCTCTGCCCTTTGTTTAAAAATATATATATTTCCAAAAGCATTCTCACTGCTCAAGCTCAATCTACCTCACAAACAACAGGTGAATCACTAACCTTACCCAGAACTGTCCAGATCACTCTCTCCTGGTAGAATCTGGGAATCAGAAGGAACAAAGAGTGGCTTCCCCGTGTCACTCTGAGAAGCTCATAGCAACCAGTATAATAGCTCACAAACTACAAAGAACCTCAGGATGCCTCAGTCAGGTTTTCTCCTGTGTTCCATATGGCACAAGAAAATTCTGGACACGTGATAATATCCCAGAGAATAAAAAGCCAGTATTCACCAAATTACCCCTTTGCTGCCAAAAAACAATGGGGCTTCAGTAATTCCCTCCTGTTGTAGCAGAAAAAGACAAAATATCAAGATCACTCTAACATCCCTTGTTCTACACCAGCATGAGGGCTGCTTAGCACAACTCCATGCTCTGGCCAGAGACTGTACCTAACCCCATTCAGTTGCTTAAAGATGCAAACCACAGATAAGATAATGTTCTTTTCAACCTGGAGAAGGAAAAAAAAAGCCTCAGATGTCCGTGTCTCCTCATCATAATTCAAAAGAATGGCCACCTGGTAATCTTAAGTTTACAAACTAAGGACCTTGTCTTACTTACCAAGCACTTAGTAAACTACCTAATCTAAAATAGGTAATGTGTTCAGCAGTGACTGATCATGTATACTATGTGATTTCTATGTTCAACACAGGGGTATCTTGATAATTATATTTCAATATACTCTCTCAATTCTTATGAAAGATGAAAAACACATCACCAGTTTTTCCATTCCAAGCAATCTGTCAAAGGAAACCAACATTACTTGTAAACAGACTCCAAGCTATCAGAAGGGTAAATTAAAAATATACTTATGTGTTTTGAATACATTTTAAAAACCATTTGTCAGATTCTTGTTCTGGCAAGATTCTTATAACTGGCCACATAACTTCTTAAGCTTAAAATGAATCTTTATATTTCAGTTTCTTCCAATTAAATAATAAATTAATATGGCTCTTTAGCATTTATTAGTTACATACATCTTTAAGACAATTATTAAATGCTTTCATGTTCTATCTCTTTGAACAAAAATTCACTTACTCTCCTAATTCCTGAAATGCCCCTACTGGCCCGTACAATGACAGTAGCAAACTTACCTAGCCTGATTATCTTTTTCAGCAAAGGACCTAATTATTACAGAATATACTAACTGTAGCCAATCTAAACATAGTGTCCCGTAAAAAAAACTGAATAAAGCAATAATATAGTGTTAATTTATTATATTGGTTGGGAGGGGAGTGTCAAGATATTTCTTAAAAGACTTGGAGAAAATAGAATTACAGTACCTTTGTCATACATTTCCTGCCTTAGAAGATCTCTCTGCTACTTTGAAAAGAGAAGTATGCACAAAGGTTCTTGGAGTTGAGGTACAGGGGTGTGGGTGTGTGTGTGATGTACAAGGACCAAATCAGAGCTTTAGGGGCTCTCCACACCTGTCTGATGCCAAAAAGGAAGATTTAAATTCAATACTGACATTGGGGGCTAAAGAGGAGAGGGCAATTACTGAAACAAGCAATTAATATATTTTATTTCCATATATTAATAGTTTTCCAGAGAACCATGACTGGTAGAGAGCGGAATAAAAGAAATAAAGATTGTGTTCTAGCCAGTGTGGCCCAGTGGGTTAGGTGTCATCCCATGCACCAAAAGGTTGCTGGTTTGATTCCCAGTCCGGGCACATGCCCGGATTTTGAGCTCGATCCCCAGCAAAGGGCATGCTGGAGGTAGCAGCTTTAAGTTTCTCTCTCTCTCCCTTCCTCTCTCTCTAAAAAATAAAATTAATAAAAAAATTTTTTTAAAGAAATAAAGATTGTGAATAAGAGCTAAAGGAATTTTTTTAACCTAAAGAGACAAAAACACTACATTTCCTCATACCCATCACCCTGCACACCCTGCTCCCAGCACACACCTATATTCACCTGTTTCCTCTACCTGAAACATGCCCCATAGTCTCTCAAAGGCTGAGTAAATGCCAACTCCTTCTTAAGTTTTCCTGACCCTGAGGGTCAGTAATTGTCTTCTGAGGTCAAACATTTTGTAATACCTCCAAGATGCACCCATTACATACTACAATGAGAAACAGTTTTACTGTGTTTATGCTTAAATGCTACCACTATCAGCCAATCATATAAGACCACCATCATTCCTTCACATCTTCTAAAACTACAAATCAAGACTGAATTTTATCACTTTTGCAACCTATTAATGCACAAAGCAGATGCAAGAAAGTTTTAAAAAATATAAAGTTTTCAGCTCAGAGGTCCTCAAAAGAAAACTAAAAGACCATATACCCTAGAAGATCAAGAGTCACCTACCTGGGAACCTTAAGTCCTAGTTCTTGGATTCCAATGACTCTATAATGTTCTAGGACTCTAGAGAAGACCAGCATTTTCCAAAATGGTGTCTGCTGGACACTTTTCTAAAGGATGCTAATACATACCCAAATAAATTGGAAAAGTCCAGATTCAAATAAAGCTAAATGGTTACTTTACTGCAGAACATTCTTGGGGCTTTAATAAACTAATACACACCATAAACTTCCAAGATAAGATTCCTTTATGAAGTATCTAGCAAACTAATTTGAACAAAATCATAAGCAGAGTTTGGAAAATGCTTCAAAGAACATTGTTTGGGTTACTTTTTAATTGTCACATTATTACTGAGTACTTCAAATCAACTTCTTAAAAAGTTCTTACCTGATATGTGTTGCAGGCAGAGATTCATATTGGCGCGACAAAAAGAGTTCTCTATGCTTCAACTGATGTTTCTGTTTATCAGTCAGGTCAGCCTCAATTGTAGTTTCAGATTCTTCCTCAATTTCTTCTACACAAATAAAATTCAAAGAATTCATTATTACAAAGCACATTATCTATCTGGATTTTTTAAAAAATATTTTGCATTATTGAATTTAGAGAGAAAGAGAGAGGAATAGAAACATCAATGAGAAAGAACATCAATACACCTCCTGCGCACCCCTACTGGGGATCGAACCTCCTACCTAGACATGTACCCTGACTGGGAATTGAATCAGGGACCTCTTGATGCATGGGTCGATGTTCAACCACTGAGCCACACTGGCTGGGCTCTATCCAGATATTAAGAGAAAAAAATCAACCTTTCATTCAATATTTTCTTCATATTAATTGTTAATTTTACATATGTAGCATTTCATTTGAATTACTATCATAAAATTAAGTTACATGGAAGAGAAAGAACCACAATTTGAAAATGGCAGATGCTACCCAGCTGGTATGGCTCTGTGGTTGAACACAACCCAAGAGGTTGCAGGTTTCAATTCCCTGTCCGGGCACATGCCCAGGTTATGGGCCAAATCCCCAATGGGGGCATGCAGGAGGCAACCAATCAATGTCCTCTTTCATCTCTCCCTCTCCCCCTCTCTCTCTAATAGCAATAAATAAATAAAAAATGGCACATGGGCCCTGGTCAAGTAGCTCAGATGGAGCATCATCCCAATATGCCACGGTTGCAGGTTTGATCCCTGGACAGGGCACATAAGAGAATCAACCAGGCCCTGGCCGGTTTGGCTCAGCGGTTAGAGCGTCGGCCTGCAGTACAGAGAGACCTGGGTTCGGTTCCCGTTAAGGGCATGTACCTCGGTTGCAGTTTGTCCCCGGCCCTGGTTGGTCGTGCGGGTGGCAGCCACTCGATGTGTCCCTTTGACGTCCATGTTTCTCTCTCTCTCTCTCTCTCTTCCTCTCTCTCCCTCCCGCTCTATCTGAACAAAAAATGGAAAAATGTCCTCGGGTGAGGATAAGAGAAAAAAAAAAAAGAATCAACCAGGACTTCCGGTCAAGATGGTGGCGTAGGTAAATGCGGTATCGCGTCCTCCCACAACCATATCAAAGTTACAACTAAACTACAGAACAACCATCATTCAAAACCGCCTGAAATCAAGCTGAATGGAAGTCCTACAACTACGGAATTAAAAAAAAGCAGCTACATCCAGACTGGTAGGAGGGCCAGCCGCGCGAGGGGTGGCGGTGGCGGCGCGACGGGCTGGTCCCACACCCAAGTGTGGCAGATAAAAATCAGGAGGCTCCCGCGGCTGGGAAGGTCCTTCCTGAGGACTGAGGGGTCCCCATCCCACACCAGGTGCCCCGCTCAGGGTTCCAGTGCCAGGAAGAGAATCCCCATAACTTCTGGCTGGAAAAACCAGCGGGAACTGAGGCTCAGGGAAGCTGAAGCGGCTGGAGCCCCAGGCAGCTCCCTAAAGGGCCCGCACACGGACTTATCGGACTCTCTCCCTCTAATCTTGGAGTGGAGGCAGCTCAAGGGGCACCAGAGACATACAGGGAAGAACTGAGCTGTTTGGCACTGGAGCGAGGGCTGGAGAGGGGGCTTCCTCGGGGACAAACGTGCTGTAAGAAGCCTTTGTTCCTTTGGTGAGCCCTTCCTGGGGGCGGCAGACAGTCTCCATATCTGGGACTCCAGCAACCTGGCTCACACTGGTAGCCCCGCCCTGCTGACTCCCTGAGGCCCCGCCCCCCCACCCAACTTTCAAGCCCACCCAAGCTGTTGCCACTTGCTTAACCACAGGATTGGCCAGTCTTGGATCCTGCTTCAGGTTTTTCCTAAATTCTTTCAAACGAGCAGCATCGGGTCTCAGCGAGCCCCATACCTCTCATTAAGTAATACACAGAAACAAACACAGGGAGGCAGCCAAAATGAGGAGACAAAGAAACAGATCCCAAATGAAAGAACAGAACAAAACCCCAATAAAAGAACTAAGCGAAAGGGAGATAAGCAACCTAACAGATACTGAGTTCAAAATACTGCTTATAAGGATGCTCAATGAACTTAGTGAGGGCCTCAGTGAACTTAGTGAGGGCATCAAGAGCATAAAAAGGACCAGTTAGAAATCATGGATACACAGTTAGAGTTGAAGGACGCATTAACTGAAATAAAGAATAATTTACACAGCTTCAATAATAGAGTATGTAAATCCAAGGAGCAAACCATCAATTTGGAATATAAGGAAGCAAAAAATCCCCAATCAGAACAGCAAAGAAAAAAGAATCCAAAAAAATGAGGATAGTGTAAGGAGCCTCTGGGACAACTTCAAGTGTGCCAACATTCGCATCTTGGGGGTGCCAGAAGGAGAAGAGAGAGAACAAGAAATCGAAAACCTGTTTGAAACAATAATGGCAGAAAACTTTCCTAACTTGGTGAAGGAAACAGACATACAAGTCCAGGAAGCACAGAGAGTCCCAAACAAAATGAACCCCAAGAGGCCCACACCAAGACACATCATCATCAAAATGCAAAAGGTTCAACACAAAGAGAGAATCTTAAAAGCAGCAAGAGAAAGGCAGCTAGTTACCTACAAGGGAGTTCCCATTAGGCTGTCAGCTGATTTCTCAAAAGAAACTTTGCAGGCCTGCAGGCCAGAAGGGAGTGGCAAGAAATATTCAGAGTGATAAAAAGCAAGAACCTACAACCAAGATTACTCTCTCCTGCAAAGCTGTCATTTAGAATCGATGGACATATAAAAACTTTCCCAGACAAGAAAAAGTTAAAGGAATTCACCACCACCAAACCATTATTATATGAAATGATGAAGGGTCTTTTTGAAGAAAAAGATAAAATGTATGAACAAACAAAATGGCAATGAATACATATCTATCGACAATGGAATCTACAAACAAAATGAACAGGAAGAACAGAAACATTCTCATAGATACAGAGAACATTTTGTTGGTTGCCAGATGGGAAGGGGGTTGGGGGAATGGGTGAAAAAGGTGAAGGGATTAAGAAGCACAAATTCATTGCTAGACTGACAAACCTCAAAGGGAAAGGGGTTGGGGGGGTGGGAAGAAATAAACCAAAGAACTTATATGCATAACCAATGGACACAGACAATAGTTTGGGAAAAGGTGGGAGGGGGGCGGGAGTGGGGAGGAGGGGGTCAATGGGGGGAAAATGTGGAACATCTGTAATACATTTTACATCCAACAATAAAGATTTGAAAAAAAAAATTTTTTTTAAATGTTAAAATAAAAAATAAAAGAATCAACCAAAGGATACATAAATAAGTAGAACAACAAGCACATATCTCTCTCTCCCCCCCCATCCCCTCTCTCTAAAGAGCAATACAAACATATTTTTCTTTATTGATTTTAGAGAGAGAGGGAGAGAGAGATAGAAACATCAATGAGAGAGAACACTGACTGGCCGTCTGCTGCATGACCCCCACTAGGGATTGGGCCCACAACCTGGGCATGTGCCCTGACTGGGAATCCAACCGGTGACCTCTTGGTACATGGGAAAACACTCAACCACTCAGCCACACAGGCCAGGCAATAAAAACTTTTTTTTTTAAAGATACCAAGAGTTGAGAGAAAGAAGAGTGGGACAAAAGCTAAAAAATACAAGAGGAAAGGCTGAAGTCTATCTACGACACAGTAACAAAAAGAATACTCTCTAAAAACAATAATCGGCCCTGCTCAGTTTGGCTCAGCTGTTGGAGCGTTGGCCTGCAGACCAGAGTGTCCCAGGTTCGGTTCTCGCTAGGGGCACATACCAAAAAAAAAAGAATAATCAGCCCTGGCTGGTGTGGCTCAGTTGGTTGGAACATCGACCCATGCATAGAAGAATTTCAGGTTCTATTCCCAGTCAGGGCACATACCTGGGTTGCAGTTTTGGTTCCCAGATGGGGCCCATACAGGAGGTAACCAATCAATGTCTCTGTCTCTGTCACTGTCTCTCTCTCTCTCTCTCTCTCTCTCTCTCTCCCTCTCTCTTTCCCTTCCTCACCCTCCCTTCCTCTCTCTTTAAAAATCAATGAAAGCATATCCTTTGGGTGAGGATTTAAAAATAAAAGACAACAGACCTGGCCAGTTTGGCTCAGTGTTTAGAGCATCGGCCCGAGGACCAATGAGTCACAGGTTCGATTGGGCCAATGCCTCGTACCTGTGCTGTAGGTTCATCCCCGGCCCTGGTCAGGGTCACGCGGGAGGCAGTCGATCTGTCCTCACGTCAGTATTTTTTGTTTTTGTTTTTAATTTTTTTTCTTTATTGATTTTTAGAGAGAGAGGAAGGGAGAAGGAGAGAGAGACAGAAACATGAATGAGAGAGAACATTGACTGGCCGCCTCCTGCATGTCCCCCACTGGGGATTGAGCCCACAACCTGGGCATATGCCCTGACTGGAAATCGAACTGGCGACCTCTTGGTGCATGGGTCAATGTTCAACCACTGAGCCATACTGGCTGGGCACATCAATGTTTCTCTCTCTCTCTCTCCCTCCCTCCCACTCTATCTACAGATAAATAGAAAAATATCCTCAGGTGAGGATTAAAAAATTAAATAAAAACAAAATTCTTTTAAATACAGTATCTCTTAGGGGCTCACAGATCCTCTGCAACCTTATCTAGACCCAACATGTGGGACTATGGGAACAGCAGGAGCACTGAAGGTCAGAGTGGAAGACGTTCAGGCTTCTAAGACCTTAATTTGGGAATACTGATTGGCAACACCCACACAACACATTTCTGTTCCTCACAATTCTTAGAAGTCCTTATTTATAGACCGTGGACCACAATAAATTTTTTTTTTTATATCCTCACCCGAGGACATTTTTCCATTTTTTGTTCAGATAGAGTTGGGAGAGAGAGAGAGAGAGGGAGAGAGAGAGAGAGAGAGAGAAACATCGACGTGAAAGGGACATATCGAGTGGTTGCCACCCGCACGACCAAACCAGGCCCGGGGACAAACTGCAACCAAGGTACATGCCCTTAGCGGGAACCGAACCCGGGTCTCGCTGGACCACAGGCCGATGCTCTATCGCTGAGCCAAACTGGCCAG